CATGATCCATGTGGTATGGCATCAGTGGCTGTCAAAAAAACCGGTCACATGACTGAACGCTCTGTACCAATGGTATGATATTGTTCTCTAAATTTACGAGGGAAAAGTTACTGCCGAAAACCGATTCACCGTGTCTCAACACGGTAACATCGCGAAACACGAATTCTGTAACTAGACATTCGCAACGTCTTCTATTCAAAACCCCGATGTCAAGTTCACAATTTTCGAAAGATCTCTGCACGATGATGGTTTCGTGAAATATTCTAATCAGGAAATTGAACAACCGAAGTATTACAGTTTGTTTAAAAATGTATACAGCATCCTGTACTTTATGAATGTACTCTCGGGAAGGATTTCCTGATCTCTTGGTATGAAGTGTTTGGATAAAATAAGGCATAGCGCGGAGGGGGGGGGGGTAAGTTACTAATCTCAGGCAGGGCTGGAAATACGTTCTTCCTGACATGTGTAGTGCTAGAGAAGACAAATCATTCCACCATTGCAGTTCTTATCGATAATTCAATAAATTTCTTGTTGCGAAACGGGGCAACGAGAGAGCACATTGTTTTCTATTTGTAACTGGTGCTACTTCATCTATGCTGAAGGCAGCCAAGGGACTTAAAATGCTATGCCTAAAAATGATTCATGTGACATGTCTTGCACACACCTTGCATAGGGTAGCTGAAGAAATTAGAAGTAGCAACACTGAAGTAGATAAGTAAATATCCAATTGTAAGAAAGTGTTTGTCAAAGATCCACCTCACATTCAAAAATTCAAGAGGAAGCAAATCTTCAATGCCCCTACCTCCCCAGCCAGTTGCCCGTTGCGGGCTTAGCTTCATGCGGCAATGTATTATTGCAACAACTTGTAGAGAAGATTATAAAGTCCTGTAGAATTTTCAGAAAGTCCTTTTGATCCTGCAGAATTTTCCTCCATTAAAAATTACTCAAGATTTCTTCTCAAGTGCTACATTAAAAGTCGACTTGGCTTACTGAAAGGTCAATGTTAATTTTTTATCTGCAGAAATCACTCAATTGGAAAGTTACAGGGGCACAACTAATCATTCCATTGGATGTGATAAAGTGCTTTGAACAGGAATTAAAATATACGAAAAGAACACTAGCATCTAAGAGACCTTTGGATCATTTCATTTTCTTAGAAAATCTAGAGATAACTGGACAAAATTAGTCATCTATCTTTCAAATCCATTGTTGTATGTGGAGATTTCAATATTTACTGACCGAATCCCACGAAAAAGAGCAGTTTCTCAATTTACTGCATTCTTTTAATTAAATATAACAGGAATGTACATACATGGAATACATTTAAATCACAAGAAGCAATAGATCAAATTGTAATTAACAAAACCTTAACTGTAACTTATGTAATAAAATCTACTATTCTCTGTTACAGTGATCACAATGCACAAATTCTTACAATTACTAATAACTTGAACCCTGACACAAATAATACACACATATGCAAGTTAACATAAAATTATTTACGGACTACTTGCCGAAGGAATCGTGGGACACAGTTTATAACGCTGTTGACACAAATGAAAAAATTAATATATTTTTCTCAAAGCTTTTCTTTCACTTTAATGTATGCTTTCCTCTTAAAAGAGAAAACTAAACATTTCACAGAAAAATAATACTTGGATTACACAAGGAATTAGAACATTGTGTAAAAACAAACGTATGCTTTACTTTATTTCTAAACATCATAACGTATCACCTGGTTTCCATGTCTACTTCCGAGAATACAAAAGAATTTAGAGGGAAGTAATTCTTCAGGCAAAAATAATGAAAAATAATCAGGATATTTTGAATGCTAGTAACAAAACTAAAGTATATATCGGAATATCATAAAAAAATTCGCCCACATAATTTCGGTACTTAGTAGAGATTTTGTTTTAAAGTATAATGAAAGAGAAGCAAGTAATCCGGAAAAAGTTTCAAATCTTTTCAAACAACACTTCTCTACAATTGCGGCTGAAATCACGAAGGAATTAAAACTACAAGATTCAGCATAATTTGCTTCCCAAACATTTTTCGACACAATGTTTATTTCCGGAACTTCTTCTAATGAAATTCTGAGAATAGTCAGTAAACTAAAAAAATAAATATTCATCTGGTTTAGATGAATTTCCGAATTGTATATTGAAAACTTGTGTACCTGCATTTATACACATGTTAACTCACATTTTCAATGCTTCTTTATGCACAGGAATATTTCCAGATATTTTCAATACAGCAAAAATTAAGCCACTTTTAAAAAAGGGGGGAAAAAATGAAATTGCAGACTAATTTCTGTATTGTCAATTTCTCAAAACGATTAGAGAGGCTTTTCCATACCTGAATGGAAACTTTACTCTGGTAAAATGAAGCATTTCAGACTTCAACATGGTTTTTGAAAATCTATGGAAACTGCCACTTTTTCTTTACTTTAAGATGGTGCTTCGTCACTGGACCAAAATGAAGCACCCATTGGAATATTTTTAGATCTTTCAAAAGTTTTTAACCATAACGTCTTACCATCAAAATTACCTTCTTATGGAATTTGTGGTATTGCTCTCAGTAACCTAGCATGATCATCTTTCCTAAGTAGGCTCCAAAGCAGATTAACGTATTATTTAACTCTCTCCTCCGTCTTTAACGGAGAGATTATTATTCGCTTGTTTACCTGGTAGATACTTGAAGAATGTGAGTCTATGGTCCCCAAATTTTGCTATGTTACTATTACATAAAGGAGTAAAAAATAGTTCTTTACAAATTGCTGCCAAGACATTGTTGGAGATTGTACCATAGTATCTATGAGATTGTCATCTGGTAAAGCCATATTTCCTACAGTAATCAATAACACTTGTATTATTCTTCAGCTATTGATCAGAACTAATACGAGATAACATTAATTTCTCACCTGGCAGATACAAAGAAGTGAAATCTTAAGTTCTTGAGCTGGCTCGTTTCACTATTCACTATGAGCTCTTCCCACTATAATATAGAGTAAGCACAAAATTTCCATATATCTTATACCTAAGTGCCAAGTTATTCATTTCCCATTGTTGATATTTTGAATTAAAGTGCTGAGATTGGCCTACAGACTACCTTGGCGTAGATAGGAGCAGACCGAGATAGGTAGAGTGCATGCCTGGTCTACCCTGTGTGCTTCCTACGATGCCTTACAGGTTACCGGGTTAAGAGAGTTTTAAATAGGCCTTAAAAATGGGTACAATGAATGGTGATTATGAAATTGTGTAAAGATGATGTACCGAAATTTAAATGAAGGAATTCTTGTAACCCAATCTCCTAATCATGGATAAAAGGTACTAATAATAAATAGTAATAAAAGCAGTTTGTAATAATAAATATTATTTGTAAAGATACGTTGAGTTGTTTTGTACACCTAATAAAATCCCCAGTTGGCTAGTAAAATTGTGTGGAAACAAGTATTTGGAATTTTCAACTTGTGTTGGAAACAAGTATTTTCTTCATAATTAAATATACTTTTTAGGCTAAAATGGTGTTACAATAAGGTTTATTTCATAATGAGACTAAGCTTCCCCCCCCCTCTTTTTAATTCAAATCTTTTTATCATATTTTTACTTCAATAAATATGTTACAGTTTTACCATTCTCCTCAGACATACAGTCTATATTCAGTCACATTTAAAATGCTCAATACTAAATATTTGCCATTGTTTAAACTACTTCTCTGCCATAAGTTGTAAATTCTGCAATTTTTTTGCAAGAAAATAATTGTGAGTTTTCCTTGCAGAGCTGAAGACTCCAAGGCTATTACCCACGCATTAAGAGGATTTGCTCGACTGTATCGCTGACTACACAAAATACTGTGGCGGCGAGAGCAGTTATAAGCTCTTCCCACAGTAACATTTGTATGAACTAAGAATTGTTTCAAGGAATACAAGAAGAAAATACTTTCATAACATCCACAAAAGAATAAGTGTTGAATTTTCCTGCAACAGATGTGGAAGAAATTCTTACGTATTCAAGAAGCATGAACATCCTGTTCTTACTATGTGATAAAAAAAAAAAAAAAGAAATAAAAAAAGACGAATGTAATTGAATGAATTCTTGTGAATGTGTATGCTGACTGTGGTTTGAATCATTCCAGATAGCAAAATTGTGAGCATGTGTGATAAACAGAGAATAAAAATGGAAAATATAGTATATGTATAGTATATATCAATATACTATGTACATTTATAAATATATAATCTCATGCATACTAGCGTGTGAGTATATTACCATTTATTTTTGGTGTAATGTGGAACATTTATGTCTCAGTCATGTGAACAGTAATTTTTTTTAAATTTTTGTTTTTATTTATTTAATTTGTTTGACAAATCTTGAAGATAAGTGAACTAGCTTTCTTTGTGCACCTCCTATTGGGAAGATTAGTTCTTAATGAGCTTTTGTTTCAAATATTGCCATATATTACTGGCCACAGGTAATGAGTTGATGTGTCCTGTACTTTGCGCTAAAGATGTGCATTCTTCTTCCAAGATACTATTGATATATATATCAATGACACGATAGAGAAAATGTGACTTGTAAATTATTGTAAGCATATTGAATATATTTTATCGATGCAGCAGGTCAGTATGGAGTATTGTTGATTTAATTAAGTTACTGCTTGCAAAAGTCCATCTGTTCCATACGCGTTAACAAATGTAATCTACTGACTAGCTGCACTGGAAAGGGTGCAAATTCTTTTAATTGCTATTAAATACAAATTCTAAGAAAAAAGTAATGTAGTTTCTAATGAAATAACCATAATTTAGTGAAGTATTTATGGCATCTGTTCATATTTTCAGTTAAATTATTTGCACCAAAGATGTATGAAAAATATTGTTTTAGCATATTTACAAAGAATTTTATAATTCTTGACTACTATCTCTTTTCACTGTTTCACTTCCTCTTCCCTTTTTTTCATGCTCTGGTTAATCAAGTATGTATAAAATATGTAACATGTAATCATTTAGTAAGTTCTCATTCCATTTCTGTTGTGTGGAAATCTTGACAGTTTGAAGAACAGAAGTTTTACCGAATTCTTCATAATAATTGGAATTTTGCTTTTTGCACAAGAAACTTTTCTCTGTTCATTGCCATTGTCTCCCTTCTTGTAGACATTCACTACAAGTAAAAAGTTTTTAAGCATTCTTTGTTTGGAGACATTTTTCATTTACTGATAATTAAAACAGGTCATTAGATTTATACGGATTATTACTTTACTTGTGTATTGGACAGTATGTGAGTTTGGTGGTTGGTGAGCAAAATAATTGTGCTAATCTATGTCTTGTAGAAAATAAGATTTAAAGCATGTACATAATAAATAAAAAAAAATGAAAACAAAAAAGAGAAATTCTTTGATGTTCAGAACACAGAAGCAAATTTTGTCTCTCCCATTTTTTTCATATGAAAATTCAATGATAAGGAGTGTAAAATGACCAATTTAAGTACTGCAGTTAAATGTGTTTTGCTCTCCAACCACTGGTATTTTGAATACACACTGTGTTATTAGATATGCTATAGTTGTTTAGTCATATAATATACATGAATATTTTGTTATAAAATAGAAAAATGCGATGATTTTATGAAATGGACAGATATGCAATATTGTCCATTGTTTCACAGTTTGAATGTTTCTGAATTGAAGTTGAACATGGTGACTTCTCATATTTATACAATTTGAATATAATGGGTCATGGATGAAGCAGTATTAATATACTGAACTAGACGCATTCAGATGTCCAAACAATAGGGCTCATTTAATGTGCTCATTGAACAGATGATTTAAGAATCAGCTTTTTATAGAAGTTATGAGTGACCACATGTTATTCTCTAATGGCTATTTTGAGCAATTTACATGAAATTGAATTGAAGAAATGTATGGTATTTTCAAGCCAGCCAGCAAGATAAAATTTTAGTAATCTGTGTCTGTATACAAGAATGAAGATAATGAGCTAAAGTATAAACCAGTAATCGACTTAGTGGAAACAACTGGAATCAAATATTATTATTATTATTATTATTATTATTATTATTATTATTATTATTATTATTATTATTATTATTATTATTATTATTATTATTATGTAATTAAGACTGTTGTATATGGATGTTAAGAGCATAGCTTTTTGTTGCAAGTTTGTACTATTAATTAATAATTTTGCAATCTATAGGTGTTTACGTATGGTATTAATTATAAAAATAAGTTAACAGCAGTCTGTGTCAAACTTGGTTTTAAAATATCTGTCTACTTTCAGTTCTATTCAAATCATATCTCCTTTCAGTTTTTGAGAGTGTCTTTCTTAGGGAAGGGAAGATATCTGAATTCATATTTATTGGGCTCATCAAATGAAGTTCAGTTGTTACCATCAATATTGAAATCTAGTGTTACCTGATGATGGCTAGCTGATGTGAATTTATTCTGATCAGCAATGAAATTGTCTTGTCAGAAAGCTCAATATATCTTGGTTTGAATACTGATGTTAAAATAGTGCTGGAATAAATCTCCAGTGCATTCCACCAGATCAAAGCTATGATATTAGCAAATATAAGTGTTATGTTAATTGTAATGAGTCGCATTTATATGTATAATTGTATTTCTGTGTTTTTATTGTGGTATTAAAAAATGTTAACTGTTTATTCTACCATAAGGAAGAAACTATAGGACTGCATTATAAGAAAATGGTGGCCATTTCTTCCTGTTTCGTTTTTATTACCCTACAGCAAAAGTACTATAGAGCCATGATTACTTCAAAGACACATTTTATGCAGCTCATAAAATCTGTTTTTACTCTCTGATGATTGTGTGCGGTTAGTAACTTATGTATAGTAATGAATAATGAAGACTGCATTAAATTCCATCATGATGTATGTCAATATTAAATGAATGATGCCCTTTTCACTTGCAATTTTATTGACATTTTTTATTATCTTTCCTGTTTCTTCTTGGTTTTAAAATTTCAGTTTTTGTATTCCGTGAAACATTCCCAATCACATAAGAACAGATCACTGGTCTATAATTCTGGCTCGTGTGTCAGGAGGAAAGAAGTCAATTGCAATTACTGTTAAGGTAAGTGATGCAAATATGACCAATGCAGGTAATACAGCCAAGTAGTGGTGATGTTGTTAGCTGAAACTGTTTACCATAGTACTAGCACGCTGTCTGGAAGAGCGTAAGAAGTGCATTAGCCCCCTACCACTGTTACACCACGCTTAATTATACACATGGATTTTCACACTCGGGTGCCTCTATTGTCAAGAATGTGCCAAAGGTGCTCTGTCCATATAACTTCTTTCCAGATAATTTTATTATTAGTGACAGCAGGATTTAGTATTTTGACAGTATAATCTACATTTAGCACATTTAATGAGCAATGTTATGAAATTAATGCCGTTAAATTTCCACAATATTTTACCAACGTGGGAGAGAGATTTTATAAAGTAGTTTTTGCTGTCAATATGGCCAAGGGTATAGAACAAACTATTAAAGACAAAGAAACTTGCATTTGTTCTCAATGTCAAACTGGTTGAACGAATTTTTATTTTTGTAAGTGTTCAACCAAATACTGATGTTTTCAATTTTATTTTTATTTTTTAATTTTTCCCAAAAATTACCATTGTAATCTCTAAAATGCTCTACGAAAGTGTGGTAAGTTACAAAGTGGGACATCTGAGAAATACAATAAAAATGTATACTTGCTGTTTTGCTGCCGCGTCTTCTAGAGCATCCTCCCTCTAACACATGCCAATCAGCAGTAGACGATTACCATCAATATACTTTCACAGAACAATAAACAGACACAACCCTTCACATCTTACTATGTACCAGATTTGTACATATGACCATCATAGCTGATTAAATTCAAATTAAAAAGAGCCAATTTAGTATAAAACAGACAGAATATGTATACGAGTAAGAATATGCAATACATTTAATTAAATTGATTCTTCTTTTACTTCACTTTACAGAGAATATGGTTAATTGACCTTTTCATAAAAAAAAAGAAACTATGTATTTTCTTTGTGCCTTCTGTTGTTGTTTTTTTTTATTATATCATTGTTGCAGTAGGCCTGTCTCTAAGTATTCAGCGTTGCTAAAAATGTAAAGATAGTGTTCTTCACATTATAATCAATCCACTTACATAACTTCCTCCATAAATTAATAGGTTCCTCTCAGAATTGAAGACTAGTTTTTATTAAGCATATTACATTTGCCTTCCCGTTCATTATGCTGTAAAGTTCCTTTCCATAAACGTTGCGAAGTTATAAAATGCCATTCAGTATTCGTATTTAAGGCATCTTTGTGTAAGAATAAACTCGCATTGCTTTGTAATATTAGGTACTAACCCCGAAAATACATTAATATTAACACTCAAAAACGTACTTGAGAGGTAATATGAGTTTACATTGAAAAGGGCGAAATAAATTTGAGTCGTGTTTCAGGGACCCAGAAAAATATTTTTATTCTTAAATTCTTTGCTTTCTCTGAAATGTAGCACAAAAGGATACAGAGTAGATAGGACAGGAATTACTACGTCAAGTACGAAAGAATGATTTTATAAACAATCACACTAGACAATTAAAATTCCCAGCGTCAAATTTTACTTTTGTCTCGTGAATAGAGCAAAAGACGGCAAACGTTGGGGGTAGACAGGAGAAGAAACAGAAGACCAACTTACTCTGTCAGTTTCTTTATTACTTGTATCAGGTGATATGTTCGGGTGACCAGGACTGAGAGTGCACGTTTATTCATCATTGTCACTGCTCAACATTTGCAGCATTAACAAGTATAGTCGATTTTCACTTTCTTGAAAAAACTACTCTTGACTCGTCACGAGAAGGAATTTTGAAATATTGGTATTGTGGTAAGTTATCGTTGGTATTTACAATGAAATAATTATATGAGTCGTCATTGGCAACGATATTGTAAAATTGTTTGAATTTTGAAAACTAGTTTTTCCAATAAAATAACTTTTTTTTTTACGGCAAACAGTCAATTTTCAACTTCTCAAGAATGCTGGCTGTAACTACTTTAACGTACACTTCTTCTACAATTATATATTTTAATTTTAAGAAAACGCAAATAACAAGTACTGATTATTTTAAGGCTATCTGCGGTTACCGACTTCACAGAACAATGCATGTTTCGCTGTTCCTCAAGTGACTCAGTGTATGTATCTGAGAAAGAAAGCTGCTCTGTTTCAGGCAGACCTTAGCAGCGTCAGTTGTTTATAAACTGAATAGACGCGTTTTGTCAGAAGACTTCCATTTGAGACCGTAATTACTGCGATTCAGAACACGACGTAAGTCTCATGGTTGCTCTATGTTTGCACCTCACGTCAAGCGACGTTAATTGCGTGTAGTTCTTAAAATTTTATTGTGTGTCCCACTTTGAAATTTTGCAAATCTATACAAAATTAGTGAAGTAATACACGAGTACTTTTTACAATTCCTTTAAAGTGTCAGATATAATGTAAAAATTAAAATATATTTTAAATATGTTTTCAAAAATTATATTTACATCACATCAATGTACATCTTTTAAGGTTATGTTTAAGTGTAATTTTATTTTTCTGAAGGAAACAGTATATTTGCAAACAATTAAAACATCAGCGCGGATACTTTTTCTGAAAAAGTAATACATAATATTTCTGAAAGGGGTGGGATTAGGAAAAAAAGAGAGAGAGAGATACAAAAGGTGTAATTTTCAACCCTAGAAGTCATAAAATAGTTTCAATTCCCTAAAAAATGTTTTGTGAGTGTGCGATCTGTCGTGGAATGACTCATTTCCAAATATAGCTATGTGTTTTAGGCTTGCGCGAATTTCCACCACATTAATCCGAGGTGTACGGATATTATCCCGAAGGCGGCGGACTTCCACCTGGTATTAAAGTTACATTCACACACTTAGAAAGGACGCAAGAGGAGAATACGCTTGGTTCAGGGTCGGGGGATGGATGCAACGTAGATTGGAAGACTTGAATGGTAATGGCATCTGTGTGCTTTGCGGTGATAGGGAAGATTGGATCCACATCCTTTTTAATTGCTGTGCGACCAAAACATGGAGACGAAAATGAATGGGAATGGGAAACTACTACTTCCATCATAGAAACGTAACGCTCGCCCAGAACTTATTAGGTGAAAAAAGGTCTCACTTCATGAAAGAATTAGGAACATTTCTACAGAATTCGGTCCATTAGGGAGAGGGAAAACAGTACGGGTTTGTAGGAGCGGAGCCACGACTGGAGAGAAAATAAATTAGTTAAGCACACATTCAATGATTTAATCAATAATTTAAGTTAGTAAACTGCTAAGTAAATAAGCCATCAGTTTTAGTTAACTGTTAAGTAATAAGTAAATCAATAAATAAAGTAAATAAATAAATTTAAAAAATGATAGTCAATAATTAAATAAGAATATTACGGGGGAAAGAGGAGAGGGTTGCCCAAATGTAAGTGCAGTTTGATTTCAGGAGGCTGTTGGTGAGGTGCTGTTTGATTTCAGGAGGCTGGAGGGCGAATGCGTGACGTCCACACCAGGAAATAAACAAATACCTTAGAAAAAGTCTGGAAGATTAGCATGTGCTCGGCTTTTCACTGCAGGTTTCCCTCATTCAGGTTTTTTTCCTCAGCCGCATCTTATGGTCTGTTTACCGCGGCTTTGATGCGATGGAGAGACAATTGGAGTGAATACCAGAATTAGAAAGGTTAGAACACGGTAGGATGTAGGTATTGTAATGGCTTAAAGGCCTTCGGTCTAGCCACATAGTATCATGTTATTTAATTTATAAGTGTAATAATTACCTATTAAATAAAATAATTAAAAAAGAACAGCTATAAAATTATCTGGTTCAATATTTTTGTTAAATACCTAAAATATCCTCTTTTGTGTAATTCTTACATTTACGTCATAATTTGACACATATTGACAAACCATATTGTTGGTACAAGAATTTGATGAATATATTTATTGTACAGGACGTATTGCAATAAGTTTTTAATTTCCGTCTTATTTTGGTTAGTAAGACTTAACTTTACAGGTACTCCGCGCGAGAAAATACATCCTTACTGATTTCGTGAATATGAGTGTTACTCATTTAACAATGCCAATTATTTGTTCGTAATGATTGTTTTCAAACATGATAAAGTGAAAGTAGAGCTTTTCAGTGGTCTCTAGCGCCTAAAGCGTTTTTCAAGAAATAAAAGTTAACATATGCATTGTGTAGAAAATGTCGACTTTAATTTTGTAAATAATATTGTTTCGATAAAACGCATACTTTTGAAGATACAAGTCATTCCACGTCAAATCGCACATTCACAAAACACTATTTTTTAGCGACTTGAATTTTTTTTATGAGTTCTAGAGTAGAAATTAGGTAACACGTATTTTTTTTAATCCCACTCCTTTCAGAAATATTACCAATGACTTTTTCCAAAGAATCATGTGCGCGCTAATGTTTATTTTTTTCGCAAATACCTTTTTTATAAAGAAAAATAAAATTACACTTAAATTCAACTTAAAATGATGTAGTTTCATGTAATGTAAATAGAATTTTTGCAAACATATTGTTGAAATATTGAAAATATAGTTTAATTTTTAAAGTTCAAATTTCTGCTTTAGGTAGACACTTAAATTATTTATATAAACACTCATGTATTTCTATACTAATTTAATATATATCTGTTAAATTTCAAAGTGGGACACACATAAAAAATGTTTTAAAAAACAGTTTGTTCACCGGCGCACGTAGGCAGCCCGCTGTCCGGACTGGCTACTTGGGGCGTCAATGTCAACGCATCGTTACTTCTAAACACAATGCTATCATGAGACTTATGTCATACTATGAATCGCAGAAACACACATACCATCTAAAATGGAAATCTTCTGACGAAATGAGACTATTAAGT